TAAACAGCAATCTGCAAAATGGTCAGCCTTTCAAGTGAATTAGTCAGTTCATATGCCTAACATAATCACCTATTTTGGACAAGATGCTCTGATGAACAAATGTTCAGATTGAGAGTAAAATGAAGGTAACTGTGATTTTTCCCAGCGGCCATCAGCTTGTGAATATGAACGAGATTACTTAAAATAATGATTTCATTTTTACTGGCTTCACCTACATGATACAGTTCCCCAAAAGCCATGTAAAGCTTCCCCACTGTCAAACATGCTGGTTCTTCACTAACCAGGCTGGCTGGTGCCCTACCAGGCTGGCTGTCCTAGGGCACATGCCCACTCCTCTGCGGCTACCCCAATGAGTCTACCCCACTGATTCCTTGGGTTGGGCCCATGTCAGGGCAGTATCTTGGGTGTATAGGAGAGAAGACTGTGATTCACTCTGACTCCAACAGATAAAGCACAGACTTGAGGACCTGATAACTAGTGGATGATCACTTGTGGGGGTTTGTTAATTAATCAGACCTACTAATGAACTGGGGAACTGCCCAAGAGCTCTTGTAAACTGTGGTAAGTTTGGCTTGGAGAATGCAATTTGGATCTAAAGCCAAGTGTGTCATCTCATCCCCACGAACTTACAGGCCGTAAGGCCATCTGGAGCCTGAAGTAGGCCAGGACAGTGAGAGAAAGGACAAAGTCACCACCTGGCCAGGAGCATGGAAGATCACAGGCCTCTCCTGTAAACCCCATTATATGCTGACCTGAGAGTAGGGAGGGAAGTAAGTAAGGTCAGAGGCTGACTCTCCTCTTAGGTTTCATCGTGAGGCACCAGGGACCTGGGGATGAGTGCCACTGCTCCCACACAGGACATAAAGAGCAAGAGACCTGAGCGGACAACACAGGGAGATTCTCCCCAGAGGCAGCCAGGTTCTCTCCAGTCAGAGCAGCTCATTTCTAACTTTGCAAAGAAGCAGGTATTGACTGGCAGAGAAGCTAGGAATGTTCTTCGCAGCCACAGCCTTGAGGGAAGGAGGATAGAAGCTCTGTGGAAAGTGAACATGGGGCATTGAATGCTTCCCCAGGACTGCACAGTTGAATGGCATGAAGTGCCATGAGGAGGGGTCAGGGGAGAGCTGCAGTCCTGGCTGTGTGTTACATATACTCTTATTTGAGGGATCCCCATACCTACACCCCAGTATGAAGAGAGTTCTTTCAGTGTTGGTTTATCATCTTTCTGCCTTCCCTGGGTCTAATGCGCCTGGCAGAGGAGGTAATCCAAGTGGCAGCCCTGCCCGTGCACAGAGTCCCCTCTCCTCCAAAGTGAGGGAAGAACAATGCGTCATTGGCTTGGCCTTTCGTGCTTGGCTGTTTCCTTTAGAATTAGTGTTTTCCGGAAGATGTCACAGCCCCTTGCCTCCTGGAAAAATCTTCTTTGGAACAGTCCCAAGAATCTGCTAGACCTCTGCATGTATGTCCAATCCCAAAAGTAATTAGAGTTTTCCTCACTAGGAACTTCTCTTTTATCCAACACCAGTGGGTGTCCTGTGAGTTCGCCAGACGATGCCAACCATACCCGTACTCCAGCAGCAAACCTGGCCCCAGCCAGTAGTCATCCCCACCTGGCATAAGTCATAATCTAATTATCATCAAGTAGCTACCTAGGAGTTGGTTAACTTATGTAAAATTAATCTTTCAGGCACTTAACCCATGAAATGAAGGAAAAAGATAAAAAAGAGCTCAGGAAGTCATTTAAATGAAAAAGTCCATTAATTCCTCTATTAATTCCTGCTTTGTTTTACTCAGCATTTATTTAGTACTTCTGTAAGTGATAAACACACCGTCTGGGGATAAGAAGATAAATAAGATTTAGTCCCTGTCAAGAAATTCACTGTCTGGGGATAAAGGCCAACACATAAACAGGTTACTGCCACCTGTCATAAATCCTTCTGCACCAAAGGGTGGGTATTACAAATTTTATAAAAATGCAACATGCAGAAATGCTAAAACAGACACACAAAATGACATGAGGTGCAGGGAGGAACAGCTAATTTTTAATACAACCACTAGGCAGTCCCTAAATTGGAAAAATTTGTGAAATTATAAAAGATAAGAACTTTGGTTTAATTTTTTGGTATTATGATTATCCAGGCCTAGATTTCTATTACAGTGAATGTTTAATGTGATTATTTTGGGGGGTTTATTTATAGCATATTCATGGTAGCAATGACCAGTAATGAACTTCGGCTTATGAAAATAGATCCTTAATAAAGTAAACTCATTTACTGGGAAACCATTGGAACATTTTGGTCCTGTGGAAAAACACAGTTATGTGTTTTCTGATAATTTATTTCCTGCTTATGTAACTGACCTGCCATGTTTAAAGCATTATTCAAGCCAATGTTTCAGAAAATCGAGCAACTGTTTTTCTCCAAAAAAGAAAAGATTACTTTTAAGATTTGATATGTACTTGTTTCCTGGTTTTATTCAGTTTTGAGATAAAAATTAAAATTGAAAAGTATTTTTAGTATGGCCTTTTTAAATCACTGAACTTGGAAGTCAGTAGCTCATTTGATCTATATTATTTTTCTGGCTCTGTGGGTCAATGCTTTACAACCACTGATAGAGAGAGTTCCTTAAATATGATCAGATTGAAGGATTTGGGAATGTGATCCACTGATTCCACAATCTATTGATCCACCGTTCCTTCTTTCTTTTTACATTGCTTTCTTTCCCCCCACTTATATTTGGACACAGACTCTTGTTTTTAACTTTGCCAGCTCCTACCTTGAGCTTTTCAGTGGTATATTTGAATATTGTTCAGCTTTTTGATGAACATCAGTTTCAGTAAATGATTTTGTGAACATGTTTTAATAACCTAGTATAAATCTCTCCTTACAGACAATATTCAAGTACAGTACAGATAGACCTCGCATAAAGTAGAAATTGATATGGACACAAAATTATTGAGCCTGATATTTATGGGAGTTCATACTGTTTAATATAATGGATGATTATGTACAGTGGATATCTTTAGTTTCTCCATCTGGTAGCTCCCTGATTTTTTCCTTGGAGACTCAATTATCCCTACCTGAGTCCAGAAGACAAGGAAATTGACAAATTTGGTATATCATGGGCACCGCAGTGCTTGCAATGGAAGTGGACACAGGACACAAGAAAGGTTAATCAAAGCCAGTCCTGGGACTTCTTCAGGAACTAATGAGTTTTGGTGAGAGTAAGCTTATAGCTGTTGGAAACAATCTGCTACCTAAGGAAGACATCATCATGCTGGCACATGCCTGCAAACCCAGTCACTTGGGAGGCTGAGGCAGGAGGATTCCAAGTTGGAGGCCAGTCTAAACAACTTAGTGAGAACTTGTCTCAGAATAAAATAACATAAGGACTGTGAACATAGCTAAGTGGAGTATACATAAGGCCCTGGGCTCAATTGGCAGTCAAGGGCAGGGCAGTGGAGAGGGGGTGGATACATCACAAAGAAAGCAAAGCTGAGATCTGGAGGGGAGATATCCTGGTCCTAATGCCATTATTTCAGCCTCAGATCTCATGGGCCTTGAGGCTAATGAAACATTTTATGTCTAAAAAAAAAAAAAAAAAAAGGAACTGATATGCTACTAAATTTACTGTAGCATATTACCCTTATACTTGAAGTTCACATTTACCTCTTTTGAAGTCTTACTGTCTCTTGTCTGTCTCCCCCAGTAGATTTTAAATGCCTTGAAATCAGAATTCCCCACTATCCAGCAATTAACAGATTCTCAATAAATATTTCTTTGACAATCCCGAAGCTACCCTTAAAACAAAAATCACACAGTGAGATAGTTATATATTGATAATATATATTAACATTTCTTTTTTATGAAGGCCAGATTTATTAAACGGGTGAAAGAATACACAAAAAGCATGGGAATACTAGACCCAAAGAGGGGTCAAGTTCGAATTTTATAATAATCAAGTTGTCACATTTCTAGGTAGGAGATGAGACACTAGTTGATTGAAAAATATTTGGGAAAGATTTTGCACTTTTCAGTTCCAGGTAATGGAACTGAATATAATAAGGTACCTGGAGAGACATGACAGTTTCTTTTTAAAATAAAATTTCTGGCATTATAGGTCCAGAATGACTAGCTACCTAGATGAAGTCCCATAATTTAGTTTCACCATGTCTGCTCCAACAAATTTTCCACAAAATTATATCTACTACCTGTAACAATAGTAGAGAACTTCACTTTACTCTGTTAGAATGGAATTGCTAGAACAGGAGAAATCATCCTTTATTCATCTGTGCATTTAACAATTTGGAGTTTCCTCTTATGTCCCCTCCCTGAAAAGTTCACAAACAGAAGATGAGAACTGTCACTACCTGTCACTGCTTGAAACGCCTAGTGGTGGGGTCCGCTTATCCATGGATTTCTGGATAAACAAGAATTAATAACTAAGAAAGATCAATGAGAGATCAATGACGGACAGAACATACAATTTGTCAATCAAGACAAGCAGTCTTTAGAGAGGCAGGAAAAGGTAGAGACTAATTACAAAACTTTATTAAAGAACTTTGTAATTAATCTACACTCTACTTCCTCTGTCATGAAATACCCAGACCTGGAAGGAGCAGCATACAAAAATGAATAAAGAAACATACCGCCCTGGCAGCCCCACTTTCCATCACACATGCTTCTCCCTCAGAGCCCTGTGCCCCACAGAAGCTCCTAATTGACAGGAGATGAGGCCCACCCACCTGCAGGTATAGAAATATTGGATGTCCGGCTAAAGGCAGTTACCTGTTTTCTTTCTCAAACTTGCAGTTCTAGTTCAATTGAAGAATAACTGAAAGTTCAATGTCTAATGGCTTTTCACCAACAGAGTTCACCTTCAACATTGCTTGACTTCATTTTGGGAAAGAGACTTCTTATCCTGCCACCTGAAATCTATACCAAACTTTAAAACCCAAAGCCTTCATTATTATTTGACTAGCTTCACCCTTCCTGGTTTAGGAAGAAGCTGAGTTCTGTGTGATCCTGTGGATGGATGTTTAGCACGCTTTGTTCCTTGGTGGTAAGCATTATTTAGCAAGACTTTCTGTCAGTTGTTTTCTGAATTCTAATTACTAAGATTTTAGCTTCCCAAGGCAAATACAATCTTACTCTGTGTGTGTGTGTGTGTGTGTGTGTATGTGTATGTGTGTGAAAATTTCAACTTCACGTGTTCATTCTGAATTTTTATGAATATATTACTTTGGTAAAATTCTTTTTTCCCTCTAAGTTCTTTTTAGTCCTTTGGGTTTAGAATAAGCTCTGCGGACTTATTAGTAGGACAAACCAGTTCTTTACCAAGAGGCTGTATGCCACACCCTTGCAATGGCAAGCAGACTCTTATTTTTTAAAAAATTTTTTTAGTCATAGTTGGACACAATACCCTTATTTATTTATTTTTAATGCATTGCTGCAGATCAAACCCAGTGCTTCGTATGTGCTAGGCAAGCGTTGTACTGCTGAGCCACAACTCCAGCCCCTAGACTCTTATTTTTTAAATTATAGGATTATAATTTAAATAAACAAGCAACACTGTTTTTTTAACCACTGTTTTTATTGAAGTATTGAAGGATATGTGTGAGTATCAGTAATGCAGCCAAGAATACCCTTGAAAATATTCTGTATAAGATGCCCTTATCCAGATGGCCTGAAAATAAATGTTCAGAAGTATAGCTTGTTTTCCCAGGTATGATGAGTATTGCCCCAAACACTGTAGTTTCTAAGGGGATATCAGCCCAGATACTTTAATATAATCCACTTCTCATTTCACAGTTATATCAATTGTTAAAATAATTTAATACCAGGTGATAAAATGGACATAAATGTCCCTGAACTTTTTTTAAAGAATATGGAAGTACATTCACTTTCTTTTTATGTGACTTTTATCTTATTACTATACAAATATATATTTATATTATATATTACTACCTATATTTTGCATTAAGTAACCACATATATTTATTGTTTTAAAGTTAGAAATAATCATACATAAAAGAAAATCTACCTGCAATCCCACCACCCCCTCTTCACATTTTAATATTTATATATGTAGATTGTCTTATTTTTGTAACCTATCTTTTTACTTAAATAGTAAGCAATTTTCCAATGCTTTCAGAATCTGCTTCCAACCTTGAATCTAGAAGCATAACCTGAAGGTAACCCTCATGATCTTGGTATATATATATATATATATATATATATATATATATATATATATATATCTACCATATATTTATATATTTGGAAGAAATCCTATTCTTTTGTTGACTTTGTAACTAAAAGATCTATCTTCCTATATATCATGAACAGAATAATTCTGAAGCCTCCCCTTAGATTTATGAGTCATTTAATGATATTGTCTCTCCAGTTCAGGTTTTTCTTAAATCAATAAAGTTTTCAAAAATAATTGATTCAGCCAAGAGGAACCAGGAGAGTGCTTTACAAAGGATGCTACATACAGGAACTTTGTTGAATATCAGAACCAATTCTCTGGATCCATGTGTGATTCAACTTTGTAATAATACCAGTGTCTGGAACAGGCTAAGCCAGCAGTAAATCCTAAATGAACATCAAACAAAATGAAACAAGTTACATAAGAAATCCTAATTCTACAATGTCAACACTGGGGTTGAAGCCCCAGGGGCTATTGATTATGTTTTTCAAATTTAAATCTTTGAATAAAGTGAGACACTAATGAAAATTATTCAATATTTTAATAATTTTGTAAAATAGCCTAGAAGTGGCAACACTAGTAATAACCAACATTTTTTGGCATTTAATATGTACTGGACATTAAATACATGTGAGTCTTTCACATATATGTTTCACAACATTATGAGGCAAGTGTTTTACACCCCATTTTACAGATGCTGTAACTAAGGGACAGAGGTAAAGTAAACTGCCCAATACTCATGTGGATATTCACATCGCAAACAGCAAAGGCTTTGTGTGACTCAGATGCCCCTTGCCTCTTGCATCATCCATACAACCTACGTGACATTCCACAGATGTTTATATGACTCCAGAGCCCATTCTATATCTAGGCTAAACTTCCTGACCTCTAGCAAAGCTGGACAAAGAGGCCCTCTGATAGGACTCATATGTGAACTCCACCAATGGTCCAGATTCTTATGTGGTTCAAGGTAACAGGAATGTCTCTAAGATTATCAATCCCAGAATACAAATTAACCAATATTTCAGTTTTCCATTGGGTCACTGGAAATAATTCTTGATTGTCTTCTCCTTCATTAAGACAATCCCAGCTTTGAAAACATTGTCAAAAGGGTGGTAGCCATAGTAGAGAATAAAGTAAACTGAAATGAATTACCAGAACTTTATTAAAGCTGAGAGTTACATGACCAATTTTAAGGGATAAAGAAAAATGAAAAATAAGCAACTCAAAAATAAGATGAGTTACCCAACCTACACAATATTACATCAGTGAAAAAACGGCAGCAGTGTTAAAAAGAGAGACAGCATTTCCAAGGCTACCTGATGAGTCTTTGAAAGAGAAGTCCAGCTGGCTCTAACCTTTTAAAAAGTGAGATTTTTTTTTCCCTAAGATGTTGCTAACAAGCCTATAGGACAGCTTCCCCATCAAAGGTGAACTCTAAAGAGCAACCTGACTCTAAGAATATCCTCTAATATCTAGGAGGAATACTGTGGTTCTGTTTGCTCACTAACCCCACAATGTAGTTCTTGCCAGTGGTGGCTATAGAATTTCTCTGAAATGTATTTTCTTGGAATGAGATGAAGTAACTCCAAATTATATTTGCCTGCCCCATTCCAGGGGCTAAAGTATTCTTGACACCTTCTATCAGTGTTTCTCAGGCTTGTGGAGAAGAGAGATGGGTGTTGAATAATGATACCATGGAAAGCCCTCAGGTGGACCACAGTCACTTGTGGCTCGTGGCTACTCAGCAAGGGTAGGGGTAAGAATTGCTTTTCCCCAGAGATTTTGGAAAGGACGAGTGTGGTACAGGTAAAGAAGGTGGTGAGGGGGGTTTTACACTAAGAAGGTTAGAAATAAAGACACAGCAGTGACAAAGCATCTCCAAGGAATAGGAAATAAACATGGTTGTGTAAAATGCAGATAGTGAGTGGTGGATAGGTAGGACAGAGTCTATAAATTAGCCAGATATTCTGCTGCAGCTATTCATCAGGTGGTGAACCAGCCCTTCACGAACCATGAACACAGCTTTGCTCTTTTGCTTGTGTGTTCCTTCCTGTATCCTGACGGTGGTGGTGGCGGTGGTGGGGTGGTGGGGTGTGTATTTGAACATTCCTTCTCTCTGAGTGGCTAGCTCCTTGAGGACCAGCCACATGAGTCAGGGGACATTTCAGTCTGAGAATCATCCCTGGAGTTAGGGGTGGTGCAAAAGTGGCACCCGTAAGAGAACACCATATGGAGAAGTTGAAATCAGTTAGAAAACATCTTTTAAGCAAGTTGCTGAGTAAAAAATGAAAACATAACAATGCTAATTAAAGAATGTTTTCCAGAGAGGATAAATGTTGGATTCAAAAAGAAAAAGAGAACTGGCACCAAGGAGCCCTTATAGGGTAATGGAACTAAGAAGCCTCACACTGCACGTGCATGCTGGAGGTATTTGAGCAATGGATTAGGACTGTGTCAGAATCAGTGAGACACTAATGAAAATTATTCAATATGAGTGACTTGAGAAGGTGAAGGCTGATCCAACTCTCTTTACAGGAAGTAGGTGAGTGTAAACCACAATAAGTAAATAAGTTATGATAATGCTGGAAGATCCCTATCCCTTGGCAGGATGTAAATAATCGTTTTCAATCCAGGCCACTCCAAAGTTCTTGAGAAGGGGAAAATTCTTATTAAAATGATGTTTGAGGAAAAATTTTTTGGTAGTGATTTATGTCTCCCCACAGAATGGAGATACTGGATTCAAAAGTAAAAGGGACCGATGATCCCCTTTTGATGACCTTGTCTCTGAAGTAGCCAATTCTGTATCAAAACCTGAGGAGAGAGAATAAATAGACCAGAGGTTTGGGTTCTAGCCTTGATTTTCGATGGGCTACGATTCCTCCTTTCCAGTCTAACAACGTAGATCTTCTCTTTTTAAACCTTTTTTGTCTCTACTTTTGTATATTATCTGGGACAAGTCACATCAGCTCTCTGGGTATCAGATTCTTCAACTGTAACACAAGCAGGTACAACCAGGATTATCACTGAGGATACTTTTTCAAATTTAGAATGAAACTTCAAATACAAGTAAATCACAATCCTAGACACTTCTTCCATGAGCCCAAGAGAGTGATTAGTTCAGGGTTGATTTTATAATGTATGCTTTTTCACATTTTAACATCTCTGTTCAATGTCCTATAACTGATGGTACTTTACAATCATAATTTTTTCTTTCTTAGCAGCTCATAACATAATGATATGTTGTACATTTGAATTTTCTTCTAACTCTCAAATACAGTTAAGCTCAGAGTATATATACAGGCAGATCTGTCAAACATCCAGCGTCACATTATTTAGATGAATAAGGAGCAGAGATGGACTAGGACAAAGAGTGTCCAAAGTGGTTGTCACTTGTTTCATTAATTGTCGTTTCAGAAAATTCTCGTGTACTGGAAGATAATTCCTCCACATCTCCTGCTCCACGTCTATCTTCATAATTGACTCTTCCAAAGAAGGCTCAGAGTCCTCAGGGATTTATTGGTGAAAGCTTTTATTATACTATTAATTGCTATTGTATTTATCATCATAATTATAATTGATCCAGGCCAATGCTTTTCAAAGTGTAGACTAAAACTTATTTGTGGATTGAACAATCAATACAATGAGTCACCATAGTGTTTGAGCAAATAAAGTAACACAAACTAAAATAGAAACTCTCAGTATCCCATAGAGTGAGAGCATCATTTCCTGAGACATCATTTCGGATGTATTTACTTATGTATATACATGCAGATATTCACACATGGGAGTACTGGTTTGTGGTTTAAATTGTATTTCCATTGCGGGTTGTGGTCAAAAAGAGATGCAAAAATGCCATTCTAGAGCCTGCTTTGGAGGTGGCTGTGGCTATTGCAAATAGCTTTTAGAGGGAGCAAAAACATAGAGAGATACTGAATTTTGAGCAGTAGTATTTGAACAGATAAAGTAATGTAAACTAAAATACAGTAATTGAGCAGTGTCTTTGGTCCTCATGAACGATTTGGTCCGTTACCACACCAAACACATTCTGGCAAAATAAAGGGGAATAAGTTGAGCATCCCTAATCCAAAATTCCAAACTCCTAAATGTTGAATTCTTTGATCACCAACATGATACCACAAGTGTGTGACAGGTTGTGGTCAAATACAAGCACATTAAAAATATTGTATAAAATTATCTTCAGTCTATGAGTATAAGGTGTAAAGGAGACATAAATGAATTCTGTGTTTAAATGCAGGTCCCATTGTGAGAATATTTTATTATGTATATCAAAATATTCCAAAATTCAAAACTAAAACATTTCTGTTCCCAAGCATTTTGAATAAAGGATACTTGGCCTATACTTTGGATGGGCTTGAACCCTTATAAATAATCTTTTGTGAATCTGTTCTATCTACAGGGGCTGTCTATTATCTAGGTTCAAGAGTGTTCTTATTTGATGCCCCCTGAATATCTAATTTAACGAATAAATCAATAGAAATTTATAGCAAAAAATTAATTGACTTCTGACAGTTGGTGATACAATTTGTTTTGTAAGAAAATCCCTGGGGAGGTTCTACTTTGAAATTTTGACTCAAATGTTTTAATATCTTTTAGGTAGAACACTCACTAAAGGAAAGTGTCATTGAGGAAGTGGAGATTGTTAAATATCTTTCCTTCCAAATTGCTCAGAATGATAAACAGTCAGGCCCCCTTGCTGGCCTATCGTCTCATTCCATGTTTCCTACACTGACTGTCTGAGCTTCTTCTTTCACTTCTATTTCAAGCATCCTTCCTGTACGTCAGAGCAGGGGGTTCCTACAAAGGGGGAAATGAAACCAGCAGCTGTGATAATGAAAGTGGGAAAGTTTTTTTTCCACTATAACCACTGTAGGTAGGGGAATCAGTGGCTTAACCAGAGGATATCCGTGGCCCTCAGCTTTTCAGATCAACATTCTTCTGACTCGCTTTGAGATTCTGTCCAGGTGTAGGGCCCTGTGATTCTCTGGGATCTCTTCATGCAGCCATTTCCTTTGATAAATGAAGAAACTAAATCCTAGGCAAGTCAGATTCTATCCCAAAGTCAGAAAGTCCATGACTGGCAGATGGGAGGTGACTAAAATGTCCCATAGAAGATGGGTTACATTAATTTAATTAACTGCACTTAGACCCTTTCTCAGGGAGACTTTAAATCTTTGGGATAGGCCTCATACCTGACTAAGATACTTTAAATCTATTATTGAGTTTATAAGTCTAAGTTTATATGTATCTCCTCTTAGTAGAATTTATGGTAGAGGGTTAGAACTAATAAATTCTAATTAATTTTATGAATTATTTACTCTTGTTTTAAATTCCTTGCAATTGTTCGGCATACTCTAGAGCAGAGTGGGGGGAAAAGCTGTGTTTTCTTTCTCAAGATGTTTGTGAGAAATATTAGTAGTGAGCAGATTTCCTCCATGTGGACATTCTACACAGTAATTTTCTCTATCCATTTGAGTACTGAAAAGTAATATCCTCTCCTGTTACCAAGGGCAACACAGAGCACCTGGTTTAAGTGTAGGACTGAGTCACTGATACTTTAAAAGAAATTAAAGTGCTCTATTTATAAGTTGGAGAATATAGGAGATTTAGAAAGGGAGTGGCCTTCAAAAAAATCATTATTTTGAATGAGAAAAGGAAGACAGAATTTAAAATAAGCAAGATGAGCAAGACAGAAAATACTTTCTGACATGTGAGGGAGCAAACAGCCTCAGATGTCTTTGATTAGTGTGTTTTCACAGAGTTGGCTGTCAAGAAACTCTCTATCCAAATGAATTCTGTTTTTCAGTTCATAGCTCAGTAAAATATGTTTTGTTAGAAAAAAAAAGAATTTATCTTGAATAGCATGGTTAAAACTGACAAAATAAAATATTTGAAAAAAATTAAAGCAATCTGATAATGGAATAATTATATTCAAAATACCAAAATATATACAATAATGATAAAGATGCACATCAAAGTTCACTCCTTCAATCATTATGCAATAATTTAACTGTTAGTGAAAATTAATAAAATATATTTTTGATATATTGAACAGAGAGATTATAAACTTACATATGTGAAATTAGTCATTAGAGTTCTATAGTTCTTCTTTCTCATTACTCTTCTTTAAAGAAAATCAGCAGTCATCTTAATAGTGGTTCCTGAAAAATCTTAATATTAATAGGGGGAATCTTTGGTGAAATTTTGGAGGGGTGTGTGTGTGTGTGTTTTCTGTTTTCTTTATTTTTAAGGTCTTATAAAATCACTGTGAATTAGTAATAAATGTGTTTTGATATGGGGGGAGGATTTACCCTTCCTTCCCATAGATATTTACTCTATCTTGTTTATAGGCAATAACATTTTAACAATTGGCTAGAATTTTCTTAATTTATGTTGAAATCACTTCATTTTTCCTGAATGTACCTGACAGTTTTGATTAACAAGATTATAGATGAGAATATAAAATAAAACAAAAATGGTTGTAAGCATCCAAATGATGTTACAAAGTTCACCCCCTAAAACCAACAGACCGACCAATTCGACACACTGAAGGTCAGGTGTCCTGCTTATGTACTAACTCAGCTCCATTTCCTGTTGCCTCATACAAACTTTTGTTCACACAGCTATTTGACTTCTAAATCCTTAGTAGATTAGAGACAAATTAGAAGGAGAGTTTAGGTGGGTAGAGCAGCTGCTGATAATGTGGTGACAAGGGACAGAAAAGTGTAAGAAGAAAATTCAAGAGAAAACTTTTAAACATCCAGTTGATCTAGGAATTGCGCATGGGAGCAAGCAAGTTCAGAGCCAGGACCCAGCTTATCACTGTGGAACTGCAGAGACCATAACTTAATTTTAACAATAGTTAAAACTCAGTAATAAAGGAAAGGCAAGGATACAACTAGAGTGTACTTTTTTAAGAAAGCAAAACATGTTATTTAATACAATTTCCAAGTGAAATAATAAAAATATTCTAGTCTTCAAGGGATAAAGTTATCAAGTTATTGGATGACTCATCCCCAGATGTTTCAGAACAACTTATTTTTATTGTAATTTTTTAAGCTTTTGCTCACTTTTCTCATCACTTGGAAACAGTTGCTTCTTTGCAAGTATTAGGCCAACATTAGGGCTATTCCATTAATAGTTCTGCCATAGACTCATACCACACAGACAGTTAAAGACAAGATTGTAACTGAATTGTCCTATTCTTGTTTTCCATGGATATTCATCCCAGTATCCACTGTTGGCTAATAAATATCTTGCATTGTTTCTGTACATCTAGTGCTGTTGCTGCCTTGTGGAACTTGCTGGTGTATTCTTTATGGCAAAGAGCAGATCATGGTTAAGAATTATCTGGTTGCAGAGCTTAATCTTAAAAGTTAAAATTGGGGGACCTAGCATCTGGGAGTTGAAAACAATACTGACTAACTGCTGACACAGAACCCCCGAAATCTCTATTATTGCAGAAAACAAATCAGAAACAAACTTAACAAAATCCAGTTGGTTGTCAATGAACCTTTATTTATTTATATGTGGTGCTGAGAATTGAAGCCAGTGTCTTACACATGGGAGGCATTCACTCTACCACTGAGCTACAACCCCAACCCCAGTTGGGGTTATTCTTGACCGGTTTAAGTGCCCTTCTTCCTACCCTTGTTCCTTAAGTTTTTCTTCTGTGAAAGTTTCACTTTTGCTAATGCCAATCCCCTTTTACCCTTCCCTCTCAAAATTTCCATTTCCCTAATAAGTCTGGAGGTTGTTCTGCTTACTCGTCGCCTCCCACAGCTCCTTGGCCATGGTCCAGGGCTGGTGGGTGGAGCGCTGTTTGCCAGGGACTGTCTGGGTCAGAAGTGGCTGAGCTGATGCTCAGCTGGAGAGACAGACACCCAGTCTCCAGCTGCATGGCTAAGAGATAAAGGCCTCTTTCAGCGCCCCCTCTCTTCCTCCTCCTAGATGGATAAGGGATCACAGCAGTTTCTTTCTCCATTTCTGTTCTTTGCCCATCCATCACAGTCCGCTGTCCCCTTCTCTGTACTGTCAGCTTTCCAGATGGAGTACAGGGACAGAGAATTGGGGAGACCCATCATTTGTGCCTGGAAACTACACAGGACCTAAATATAAAAAGGAAATGTCCCATCCAAGCCAAAATGTCCTCAGTGTCCTCTTGTCAAAGTGTCAATTTCCACTGAATTTCTGTAGACAGATTGTCATTCCATTGCTCTTGGAGACAAGGTCAGCAATCCCTCAGTTATTGCTGAGGAGGCTCTTTCTCTTCAGCAGACTGATTTTTTTGTTTTCCACACTGTTCCCCTTGTTCCAATTTCTATTTTTCTTTCCCCTTTCGCCGCCTGCTCTCTGCTGTACCAACTCAGCCTCCTGCACTCCCGGGGCACTTTCCCAGCCCCTCTGCACCCTTTCCCATTGGCCCGCACCTGCCGCACGCCCCTCCCACCGCCACCCATCCCCCTCCCCATCTCAGTCTTTTCCCCCTTGTTCCTTTAGGT